CATAAGCAGTGTGCAGAGATCTCAGCAACACTATGAAAGCCTGAAAGTGCCTTAAAAATACTTCAGAGGCAGTACATAAGAGCCAGGACTGCATTTTTAACTGTAGCTGACTAGATGTTTTTTAAGAGGGAACATCTTTTCAAATGCACAAAGGAACATAAACTAACAGTTTTCAGTAACTACTTTGTGTTTAAATCCTGACAAGATTTGTGTTTAAATCTTGATAAAACAGTCAACATAAACAATCTGTGAAGGTAATAAATCTATTCAAATCAAATAAGTATATCCTTTATAGGTGGATTTAGCACTGTGCAACACTATCTGCAATTACATGCAATTATATGCTTTTTAATATATGTTAGGAAAGAAAACATTTACATCAAGAAGTATTGAAACTAAATAATTATCAAATTTTGAGTGAAAAAAGAAAGTGTCTTTTTTCAACATAGAATCATAGAATAGTTAGGGTCGGAAAGGACCTTAAGATCATCCAGTTCCAACCCCCATTTACAACATTGTAGAGTTCTGTTCATAATACTTGAACTTTTCAGAGTTGTGTGTATCTACAATGGCATACAAGGACCATCTTTTTAGAACAGGGTGAAATTAATCTTGACAGAATTCTGTCTCCGTTACTGGTTACCAGGTAATGCCTTCTCAGAACTTAAGAACAGGGCAAGTTTAAAGTAACACTTCTTCAGAGCATTTTCCACATCTTCAGGTTTCAGTCATCCAGATTCTTCCAGAACCAGAACAAAACCCATCACCATTTCTATACCCCCCCAATGGATATTTCTTCCACAAGTTTGTCTAACTGAGATTTCTGAACTGATAATTCTCACATGTGCTGAATTATTTATGTTCCTAGGTAAAAAAAAAAATCAGTATGAAATACAGATTTTTATATTGACTCAGTGTTTAGGAAAGCAAGTTTACCACAAACAGGCAGAAGAGAAGAAATAGTTTCATATGCAACTGGAAGAGCTATCTGTGGATCAAGAACTATTCCATCTTCATTAAAGAAGTCATCGTAAGTCCACTCTTCATAAGGATCTTTATCTCCTCCAAAGGATGTTGTCTAAATAAGAACATTGTCAAAAGCACACACAGTAAAAAGAACAGCTAGTAAGGCTACTAACAAACTAAATGCTACAAAAGATTCCAGTTTTCAAGTATAGGAATAGAACAAGATCTTCTATTTGAAAAATGATTTTACTCCACTACTTCAAATGACCAGTAGCATTTCCTCCTTAGAGTGGCCACATTTCTTTTTGATGTTGCAGTTATTTAGTTGTGCACCCAAAATGCATTCTTAATTAATTTAATGGAGGCTTTCAGAAACCTTCTTGGCCAAATATTATAAGCAAACATTTTTCAAATGGATCATTTTCCTAGAAAAATAACATTCAGTGCATAAATACACTTGCCCAGCCACTTTGATCTATACACTGGAAGAGCCCATTCATTTCAAGTAGCCTTAAGCACTGCAGGACCAGCCAGCTCTCCAGCAGTCCTGGCAGCAGCTAATGAATAAAATCACTGGTATTGTCAGTCACATTAGTGGGATTTATTATACTGAAATATAAGTGAAAAATGCTACTTGTGCCACAGCTGTACTGCTTCTAGTACTCAAATCAATTCACTCTTTATGCTGAAGTACACACATATTCAAGTAAATTTTTATTTATGGAGCTGTGGGTTGGGTGTTTTCATGGTGGTTGTTTGCTTTTTAAATAAGCCCATTAAATACTGCTGGAGAAATGGGAGAAAAAATGTATGCAGAGTGAACACTATTCAGACACTCAAGACATTATGTATGTTAAAAAAATATACTTAAGTTAGGAGAAAATACCTTTGCTGTAAATCCATAGTTTTCTATTTGGCACTGTCTGTAAATTTCCTTGGCAGCCAAAGTATATTTACATAGTTCCAGAGAATCTAACAGTAAATCTGTACAAAGATTTAAGATCATTAACACGCTGTGAATAGAAGGTTCATATGTCCTATAAAAATGAAACATGTTTTTTGCGGCACCTGCTTTTAAAGGGGCATATATAGAAATTCACTTTGGGTTCAGGTTTATTAAATATTGCTTGGAAAGTTGCATTTTCATCATGAACACAAATAAATGGTAATTACCTGGACTACATATTGTAGCTGCTTGGCAAGCTATCTCATAGATCACTGCTGGAAGATTCATGTCATCTGGAGTGATCATTGGGACATCAGCTCCTAACATATGACAAAGCCTTTGACAGGCTGAAAACAGCAGCTTCCCTGTTTCTTCATTAGAGTGACTTTCATAGAACTCCCTATTAGAAAAATAGAAGTTAGAGAAAATAGTCCTTGGGGCTTTTACTTAAGGCCACATTCTGTTCTTACAATTTAATTCTCTTTTACCTATTTTACCTATATGGCTCACTGCAACTAAAACTTCTATGACTGAAGTGAAAAAATACAACTGAGCTTAACTTGAAGAGATATTGCTAAAGCACATAGAACATGTTAAAAAATATATTGAACATTTTCATCTGATCTCTTTTGGGGGAAGTGGAAGTAAGTTATCTGACAATCGAAGCATGAGGCAGAAACCAGCTAGAAACCGTGACCTGGTACGTACAGTCAGTGTACAATAGTTTTCTTCTATCTCTGTAAGCTGACAAGTTCTCATAATGCTTATTTAATATTGTGTCTAACTTAACTCTCACTATAAAAGTGTAGGGAATCTTTTTACTTAATAAGTATGTTATGGCAAAAAGAAAGGCAATTTTGACAGACAAAAAACTCTACTCTATGCTCAGCCTCTTGCTTAAACGCTCATTTTAAAAAACCTAAACTAAACCAAACAAAACTCCCCTTTCCTCTGCTCTCCATCTACTTACTTCTGCAAGATATCAGTAATAGCACAGAAAAGCACACAAGAAGGTGTAATATTAAAAACCTCTGCAGTTTTACCTGCATATTTTTACAGCCTCTTCAACTTTTCCAGCATCCAGTGCTCTCCAAGCCAGTTTTTCTCCCAGTTCTTGCTCTGACCTCTGGAGGAGCAGAGCCAGTTTATACAGCCTTGATTCAGTAGAGCGGTTCTTGCTTTTACTATCTTCTGAACTACAAGTCACTGTTTGTGCTTTTTGAGACTTAGACAGAGATCTGGCAGTCTCATAAGCATGGAAGTGATTCTCAAGAAGCTCTGACATCAGTGAAGGATTCCTAAATTCTTCAACTGAAATAAAGATATCAAAATCTTCCTGCAACAAAAGAGTAGATATTTGTATTCACATGACTTCCTTTAAAAATGTTGGCTTTTTTTCCTGTAAAAATGGTTTTATTTCCTGTTTCATTTGTAGAGGAATACATTCAGTACAAAGTTGACTTTACCAATTTCCGACAATTACTGATTCATGTAATGAATGAGAGAATTGTGCTAGGCAGTAGGTAAGCAAAATAACAAAACCTAAAGGCTACTGCATGCTCAAATGCTGTATTAAACAATTTAAGTTTACAAACTGTAATAAAACCTCAGTAAATATTCCACTACTCTGTCATGGGCTCTTTGAACTCTCAGCAAGTAAGAATTTGGGAGAGTATCTAATTTATTTGGTTTAAATGGACAACTGAGTTGTAGTAATTGGGAACTTTCCCAGGCACTACTGAAATTGGTATATATTAGCCTCAGAATCTCTTTGAGCTCAACAATAAAAACAACCTTGGCATATAAGTTGTAAATACAATAAATTTTTAGTATCATCCATGTTATAAGAACAACTGGAATAACTACAGTAAATTAAAAGCAGTTTGAAACTAAAGATACTGACCTGTAGGATAGCAAGTGTTTCAAACATTCTTAGGTTTGCTTCACATTCGTCTTTCTTCAGAGGATTGTCTGTAGGAGGAGAAAAACAATTACTTCCTGACTCCATTTACAAACAAAATGTAAGACTTTTAAGTTGTAGCTTACCTTTTTGAATGCTGAACAGGAATTTAAGGACTTCCACAAGTGTCTTGGTCATAAACATCTGTGTTTTGTGCTGTGGGAAGGGAAGAGGTTCATGTTTTGTTTGGTTAAAATGTTGCCAATAACAGTCACCCTGAGGCTTCCACTCTGTTAAAATACTATGCAATGCTCTACAAACATCTTAAGCAACAATTATCAAGTCTAAGTTACAGGCAGTTGAAAAGCAAGGGAACAGAAAATTACTGTATATAGGCATCCTTTATAGAAATAACAAATATTTTATGGCTGTAATATGTATGTTCTCCACAGTCTGTTAGGTGTCACTGGAGTATTGAAAGTATCCACCCTTTGTTCTTGCTTCCCTCGCCCAGAATAACTCCCTAAAACAACTGTTAGCAAAAATATGTGGGGCTAGAGGTATAATAATTCATCAGGGTTTGTGAATTATGGATTGAATTCAGGTGGCCATGCCACTGTGTGGAGATGCCTTTAAAAATAACACAAAAAATTATATAGTATATAAAATCTGAATAAACTCAAGAGGCTTCAAGGTGACCTAGTCCAACCTTTTGTTCAAAGTAGGATCAGTTCGTCATTCCTTTTTGCTGGAAAACAGAGGTTTTATATTTTCATCCCATACCTTTTTTAAGCATCTAGTTAAGAAAATTATTTAGAATAACTTGTGCACACACTTCAGGATGTGAAATGACTCAGTACCTCTTCAGCATCATCTGCTTTATTCTGCAATACCAGTGTTCCCCATAGAGTCAATCTCTCCGCAACCTCCTCAGCTTCAGCAAGAGTCAGAGATTTTAACAAAGTCAGAGATTCCTCTTCCTGAGGAGAGAAAGAAGAAAACAGAACAAACAAGAAGCAAGCCAGAAATAATCAAAAGAAAGGTATTTGCTTTTGGAAAAGCTAAGTTATGTGTATGTCCTCGCTTTGAGACAATGGTTATGATTATCAATAATACCAGGTGCAAATAAGGCAGACAAATGTTAACATGAAAACACTATTTTGCAGGGGACTTAATCTGGTTCTTTTAATCAAAAAGCCTCCTCTTCGGGTCAAAATGATTCTAATAACATAACTGGGGACCACCACAGTGTATAAAGGTAATCACACCTAGTATAATGTAACAAGCTAAGTTAAATGTTCCTAGTTAGGATATCAATGTAATTCAACACTGTCACAAGATGAACATTTAGGTGCTCTCAATATTAAAGGGGCAGGTCTGTACTCCTGTGGGGTGCTGTTGCCCTAGAAGAGAGCATTTCTCAGAAGAAAGAATATTTCCTTTTTTTTTTTTGTTGAAAAGAAAGCAATTTGCCTTAAAACAACTCTGGTGAAACCAGTATGTGAAAACATGTAGACGCTTCAATTCCAAACTTGTATACTGTGGGCCATAATTTTCATCTTTTGCCACAAAAGAAGGATGGCTCATGATGTTTAAAACTCTGACAAAGGTCTTATTTTCAATGTTAAGTGTAGGCCTGTGTGGTACAATTAACAGAATTGCAATAAAAAGAGAAAAATTTTAAAGCTGTAAGATGCCAAAAAGTAGTACAGGTTGTCCCTGTTTTGACAACAGGCTTCAGAGTTTTTAAATTGAGATGAACTGACATGAAGTATTTTAGTACCCTTTCTCTGTCAATCAGGTCTATCATCCTCAGAATGTAGACTTCCACAGTGGGCAACATATATGCTGCTACAATTTTCAAAGCATCCTCCAAACAAGTAGGGGTATCTTGTTTAAGAATGTATTTTGCTAGTCTCTGCAAGAAGAGAACAAATATGGACACTAGTTTGTTGATGTACAGGATAACAAAGGAATTAATTTACACATACTACTTCTGCATTGTCATTGTATAGCTTGTACCAAGCAAGTTACCTAGAAGCTTAAAACTTTTATCTAGAGAAAACTTGACTAGATCATAACTTGGAGAAGATAAGGCTTGGGGAAGAGAATTATCCTGGGAACTCTCACCATTCAGGGGGCTCAACCAGCTCCACAGGATGGAAATAAACTTTTGAAGAAATACTGATGGTTTTTTATTATCAGTGCTGTACTAATCAGGTTGGGCTAAACTAATCTGCTAATTTTTAAAAAAATAATGGGCTTTCAGGAAAAAATGTGTCCCAACAGGACAAGAAAAATAAATATTGATAACAAGTGGAAGCTATCAGCTGCTAAGACTTAAAAGCCCGGCTTCTAATACCGCATTAAAATACATGCAGATAAGTGTAGAGAATTCTGTTTAATAGAGGTAAGAGTAATTCTGATGACTTACCATTATCATCTGCTTGTCCTTTAAAAGATTAGTATCTCTTATCCCATAGGCTCGCAAAAGCTTCTTCATTTCCATCAAGCGGTAACTTTCCTGCAGTAACTTTACTCTATGGACAAATCAGACTATTACTAATTAACTACCTACAGCTGTGTGATTTAATTATCATACTACATCTAATACACAGTATTTCCCCTCCATCCTCCCTCCAAAAACCAGAATTCTAATTGAGAGTACACACAAATCCAAGGTGTAGACTGCGGGTGCTGCCTTACTTGACATGATTCATTTCCAAATGCTGTTTCACCAGCTGCTCCACTGCTGCACTCCATGGTACCACAGCACCATGCATTATCTGTAGAACTGCATCAAATTTCAGCTATAGAAGGAACATAAAAAGCTTATGTTTCAAAATAGGTTAACAAGGTATTCTATTGAATTACTATTCCCATGTGATCGATTCGTTTAGGCAAGCAGTTTATTTCCTTGCTCATTTCCACTTTGCAGAAAGGGCTTTACTTATCATAATATGATGTGTCAAGTTAGATTAGAAAATCTTCATAGTAGTTAACAACACTGTAGAGCTTTCATATATTTGAAAGTTGGTGAGTTTTCCATGTGCTGACTACAATTAAATTCTAAAAGAACTTCATATGGGAGACTACTAAAATAGAATAAAAACACTATTTGCTCCTCCTCATGCAAAAATGCACTAGTGTGCATAGGTAAAAATGATCTGTTTCAGTCTGAACTGATGTATCAGAGCCAGTGATCACTCTTTCATAAAATATACTTACATCTGTGTCAGAGATACAGCCAATGACAGCTATTGCCTTTGCCTCCCATGCAGTTTCAAATACTGAAGTAGATCGTGTACGACACCGTTCTAGCAAATCCTGTATATTTTGGTAAAGATTATTAATATATTTGAGTTCAGAAGAGGTAAGATTCTCTTAAAATACAAAAATAGTAACTATCAATAAGTTCATTGAAAGGAGTAGGCTGGTCCTGAAATTCAAGTGTAAACAAAAATGGCCATCAGATTTGTTTTCAGCTTACTCCTGCTTAAACAACTTTCCTCAAAAGGAAGGGAATATGGATACCTTTATATACTGGAGAAGTAGTTCATCCTTTTGTAGATTATGTTCACACAGGTAGGGTTTTATAAACTTCTCCAAAATGGATGGAACAAGCTCTGGTGCCAAAATTTTATCAAACATACGAAACACAATAGTGGTTGCATTTTCCTGGGCAGCAAGTGGAACAGTGCCATGTTAGAACATCACATACATAAAGGATCATGCACTAACATCTCTAAGAAATAATTCAACATCCAGCATCTACTGAAATCAGTTTAATGATTTAAAGAACTAGCATCCCTCTTTAGCTCAAATAAAAGCTTTCTTAAAGCCCCTCATTGTTCAGTTGCAGCTCTGATTTCTCTTTTGCTAATGCTTGCTCCATGATACATGATCTGTAATTTAGAGCAAGTCATGGAGTTTGTCATACTTTCTCATAGTATCTTATCACATTATATATTTATACCCACAGTTGAAACAAAATTTCTAACAACCATATCAATTAGTGGTTTATGACCACAAGTTTATCCAAGCAATCCATCAGAAGCTTTAAATACTCCAACTTTAAATTGCATGCTACAAGATTTTTCTCCTTCCCAAAACCATCCACTACTCGAGCACATTAGGAAGTGTCTGCAGAATTACCTTTTCAAAATCAGAGAGTGCCAGCCTGCAGTTGTATTTTCTGTATAGATTTATTAGTTCTTGTAAATCATTTACCAGCTTTTTTAACCTATGCACCTCTTCACAGTCAACACATCTCTGAAACGGTGTTTAGAAGTGACAGGTTAGAATTGCTACAATCTTAAAGATCATTACATTACTATTAACATAGAATATCAATGTTTCCAGTGGTTAAAATGCACAGCTGGTTAACTTTGAGTTTTTCCTTTCTCCACTTTCTTACTACTACTCTTAGAAATGCCAGTACACATAGAATACATAACATAGATAATTTGATTATTGTTGCACAGATTCAGTATTCACAAACTCACAGCTGGTTGATTTTAATACCTTTTTCTCCAGGCTGTAACACACGGTATTGCAATTAATTTACTAAAAACTTTAATGGAGAGGAGACATGTTTCTAATTTAAGTTTTTTAATCTTTAAACTGAAGAAGATTGGAAAGAAATTCTTTCCTGCCATAGAATTAAATCAATTTTCACCAAACCCAACAGTGATCTAAGTATCATCCACTCCGACTCTAGCACAGAGCATATATTCTGAAGTCTCTTAGTAGGAATTTCTTCCATTTGCTACATTTCTTACCAAAACAGTCCAGTGGCCAGAAATTGTCAGTCCCATTTCACCTTGATTTCTACTTGTAAAAAAAACCTCTGCCATTTGGAGTCCATTTTCTGGCCAATTTGCCTGTCCAAAATAATTGATATTAGCAAACTGTATCATACATAAAGAAATACAAGACATGCAAAGTGTCTGCAGAATAACTTACCTTATCAGTTAATTCAAGGTTTCGAGCGCCTTGTTCCAGCCATTTTGCTAATATTTTCTGAAAAGAACACAGTTATAAGTAGAGCTGTGCTATCTATCAAAGCAAAATTTGTCATTTGGGATTTGTTTTAAAAGAAATAACTCAAAATCTAAACTGTAGCTAAAAGAATCTCTTTAAAAAAGAGGAACAAAGTTCTGACATTCGAAAATAAGAGTCTTAGGTTAAACTAGCAAATTATCTCGGCCTTACCTGTCCCTTTGGCACTACTCTTCTTAAAAAAGGGATCACAACATTTTTAAGCCACAAACATAGTTCCTTCAATGGAACAGTGAAATGGATGGCATTAATCAAGTTCTCCAGCATTTTTTCATTGAAGCTGCTTTCAAAATCTGCCTAAAATATTAAAACCAGAACAATTTCAGATATAGGAAGTTATTTGTTTTATCTGATATTTAGTAAAGCTGTTTCGTTAACAGGAAGATGTGATAGATTTCAGAAATACAAAGAGAAAAATCTCAGTAATCGTAGACAGGAATTAAAAGAAATAAAATAGCCCTGTTCAGAATAACTAGAGCTTGGTCTGCTTAGACAAGGCAATTGAAGCAATTTTTTCGCAAGTTACTCTGGCAGGATCATGTCCTGTTACTTTAGCACTTGTTCTATAGTTCTGACCTGAAAGTCCTGCACTAAAGAATATAATAGCCCATAGCCACTGTGATGAATGTGTCATTCAGAATAGGGAGTCTATACGATTATTCTTAAAGGATTTTAAGGTAGTCAGCAAATGTCCACTTAAAACTTGAGAGCTGTGCTTGCAATAAAGTGAATGGAAGATTACAACCCCCACAAAATAAATCAAAGAACTGTCATCCTTCAGACCTAGAAATATGCATTCTGACATCAGAAATACCAGTTTATTCCTAAATCAATAAGAGGTTCAGCCTTCTAAGGAGCTAGGTGAACAGGTAATCATTATGGTAACAGATGAGATTCTGACATAAACCTTTGCTTCATTGAGGAGCAGTTTTGTAATGGCATTGGTCTGATTCTCTTAAATAAAGCTGGAAAGTTTGAGACATCCTCCATAAATACCAAAGAGATGTCTATGCCATCTCACCTGGTGCCTCAGCCAGAGGTACTGTGCACAAGATAAATTTCCTTCTTCTAGCTGAGAAAGGATATTCTTGAAAATGTCTTCACTATTCAAGAATTCTGTCCAAGCAATGCCACTAGAAGTAAGAGGAGGGAAAGAAACTCTGTTACGGTTATATGTCAATATTCAAGAAGCTGGGGAGGAGAACCTCAAACCTTTTCTAGCTAGTACTGTGTACTGCAAGAGACAACAGCAATGTTAGACTATGTGCATAAAATCACAGCCCCTCCTATATGTGTTAAACAAAAAAACCAAAACCTATACATGATACTCCATGTGCAATAGATAATACATGTTTTCAACATATAGGATGACTCAACCTCTCTGCATTCTCCCTTCTCCACAGTAGAGAGAGAAGGATTTAAATTTTAATGAACCAAACTAAAAAATAACACCCCCCTTAATTTCAATTACCTTACAATTAAATTGACTTCAAATCTTAATGCACAAAGAGAAACAAACCTGAATTTCTCTAGTCCAAAAGCTCCATAGAAAGTTGTAAGCCTTGCCTGAGCTCTCAATACCTGAATGCAAACAAGTGATTTAAGGTCAGTGTTTGGACAGGCTTTAAAACTGTGCATTGTAATTGCTTATCATACAATACTGTAGAGTCAAGAAGTTTGTCCTCACCTCAGTTATGGATACTGGAGCCCCATCCGATGACGGAGCAAAGGTTCTATCATCTTTCTTCAAGATCTGAAACAAAGACATGAAATGGTTTGGCTGACAACTCAGTACATGCAGAACATGCCAAACAGTACTACAAATTTAATAAAGACACGAGCCAAAACTTAGTACCTCTGTAAACTGGAGTCTTTATTTTACAGTGTTAGACACTGACTGGATTTCTACATGTATGCAGGATCAGACAGATATCAAACAGAATGAGAGACACATGTTAAGGCAGGAAAGACTAAAATAATGAAAACAAAAAAGGTGACATATGTTAAGGTTTTAGTCCTAAAATCAGTATTTAAAAGGTACTCAAAAAGACTACTACTCAAAACAAAAACCTGCTTTCTGATCTGAAAATAAAACTAAGTTTTTTGCCCTTAAGCAATAGCAAGAAGACTGGAGCAAGCCTTCTTGCTTATTCATGTTTGGTAACAAACAATTTATAATGCATTTACTTTGTGAATGAATGTCACTGGTTTGCAGATGTCCCCCTTCTCAAGTTGTACAGAAGCATAATAGGAACAGATGAGTATAAACAATTCAAACAAATAAAACCCCTTACTCTGACTTTAGCATAGTTCAGCATTTCTTGAGTGGTTTCATACAGTGGCCATGGAGCATTTATGCAGTAATCCACAACAAACTGGCTATCCTGTTTGCACAAGGAAACAATTGAAATTAGTTCTAAGCTTCTTTATCATTTGAATTATTTAAGTAGAGAAAGAGGGTAGAAATAAAAAAACATACCTGAATTTTTTGCAGGTTTTCTTTGGCTTCATTCACAAGATCCAGCCAGACCTCGTGACCGTAACTCCCAACAGAGGATGAAGCCAGTTTCTCTAAAATAGTGTTTGCTTTCACTTTATATACAAGCTGTGTAAAAACAAAAACAGTTTTCAGTCTCATGCAGTTGAGTGTTAAGCAGACAGTCTTCAACTGAAAACTCCACATTCGTTCACCATGTTTTTGAGATACAGTGTGTCTGTGTACATTGAATGATTTCATTACAGAAATGGATTATCAATTAGTAACAATTGTGTCTTTTTTTTTAATCTCACCAGCTAACTATTAAAACAAAACAAAAAAAGGAGAGGGAACATTCAAATTTCATTATTTCAATAAATCAATTAATGAAGCCAGACTGTGTTTTAGCAACACCATTTCTTGCTACTTACAGGGACAAATGTGCCTTCTCCTGATCCAGCAGTGCTCATTTTGATCAGAGGATTTACTTCTGCACCACTTCTCATTGCAGGGTTTGTTAGTTTTTGTAAATAAAAACATAGTTCACCATGCAGTCATCTAATTATGAACTAGTTTCAAGTATAGCGAGTTGCTTTGTAAGGTAACATTCCCCTATATTTGTAATATTTTTAATACTTTCTGTTGGACTACAGGGCAACAACCTTACCCATAAATTCAGTTATACTAATTAATGTCCAAAAGTATTTATCAAGAACAGACAACTTACCTCAACATCTAGTCCAAACTGAAGAGCAAAAGTCTCTGCTTCAGTGAATTTGTGCTTATGAAGTAAGCGACTGAGCCTAGGGGTGAAGTTTACTATGTAAATAGAAGTGCCAAACCACAGATAAATAATAAAATAGTAAACCAGTGATTGACAGAAATCAGTACCTATTTTCTGGCAAGGCTTCAGTTAGACTTCGCATCACAACAATAGAAACTGGGCCTTCAGAGGGTCTATGGATGAGAGTGAGCTATGAGTTTATCAACTACAAACCAACTGTATGTAGAAATAATCTGCCATTTTAACATAATAATGATCTAGTAAGAAACAAAACATCATCTTACATCTGATGTTTTACATGAATTCCTTCCAAGAAGTATATTGTATCCTGTAGTGTGCAATAACAGAGAACATTAGGTGGTAAGGGAAATCAGTCATAAGGAAACTTCAATTGTAATGCAGCATTTCTTAATCTAGAAACAAAGTACTGCTCTTCTCTCATAAATGTATTGGGTTTTTAAAATAGTTGTTATTTCCTGGATAGTTTCCACTATCTAAAATTTCTGAGGGCCTTAACTGAACACACTGTAACCACTCTGTTATCCCAGTTGAATTACCGTCAGGACACTGTCCACTCGAGTGAATCATCTTCTCAAAATTACACTCTCATTTTGTCCAACCATAATCAGGTTGCACTGTACCCATCTTCATATCTTTTAGAATAAATCCCAAATAAATCCAGAGCATTTCTCTACACGAGAATTTAAAACTTCATAGTTTTTAGCTGTAACAGCCACAAGAACAACTGGCAGTAGTATTAAACATTGCAATAGACACTTCAGTTTACTACATATTGTATCTTTTTCTCCAGCCTTTGGGGACATAATTTAATCTTTGTATCATTATTTAGTTTTTCTGTAGTTTAGACCACAGATCGGTTCTAATCTAAGAGAATAACACAGTACCCTCTGTAATAATTCTACATACTAGGACAATTACATTTCTTTTAAGAGCAACAACAAAAAAACATAGAAACCTACTGTGCCAATCCCACTTTGAACAAGTGAAGAAACAACAGACACTTCCAAAGAATAGAGCTGTTGCATAGTGGGCAATGCAAAAACCATGAGACTTCTCATCTATTAAAAAAAAGGTGGGAAAACAAACAAGTCAGTTTAAGTTTTCTCTCTGATGTTTGCAGAATCATTTCTTTATTCTCATAGAGTCAGATGGAAGACGCTATTTTCATAGGTTTTTATGATGTCTACATTTTGAAAGTTTAATGCAGTTTTAGATGTTGCATCTCTATATAAGCCTATTATTTCAATGAGTGACTGTATAACAGTTGAAGGAAAGAGCACAGACAAAGTGATTATACCTGTTTGTTATCTGGTATTGTCATGACTATCAGTTTAACATTGGCAAGCCCTTGCCTAGGGAACAAGAAAGAGGAAAAAAAGAAAGCAAAATTTACTGTATAAATCTTATGTTAAGGCTGCGATTCTCACTTTAGAGTTTAGAAAATTTAGTTCTCCATGGAAACTGCTAGTACATTTTGAAACCCTATAGTACACCTAAAAATAACAGTCTTTTAGCATTTAGAGGACATACATTTAACTTCTGACATTTTTAAGCTTTTCAAATGGGTCTGATTCACAGACTGGCACAGAGCAATGGAAAGAGCCAAGTCTTCTCTTCTAATCTTAACTGCCATTAATTTCTTTTGCATTTTACACACATCTCCAGATTTTGGCTTCTCCATCTGTAGAATGAAGATCTTACTATTTATCTATCCAAAAGACAGACTAGCCTTTTTATCAGACTTGTAAGCCATACTATGTACCTTATTTTAGACAAGCATTTCCTAAATGCTACAGGTTACATGCAAGATTCCTTAGCAGCAACAACAGATAAACCAAGAAAAAGCAGAAAGCAACAAGGTTTTCTTTTCTACAATAAAAAGCTGAGGATATCTACAGTGCAATTATTCTGTCCTGCTGACTAGAAAGCTTTCAAAGATTTCTAAAAAATTCACTACCACAGCAAATCAAGTGTTTGTGGCACGTTTCGTCTAACTTTTCAATTTTCATAATTGGTACTATAAAACTTTACTTACCATATAACTGGCAAAGAATCTGACTCTGTACTTAAAAGAAATTCTTCAATATGTATTAAAGGCCAATCCCGAATTAGAGTAAGAGAATAAACATCCCACATGCTCAGGATATTCTAGATAAAAGGAAAAAAAAAATCAGATATGGATTCACTATTTTCTTCACAGAATACATTTTTTTTTCTGCTTTGTCATTCCATAGCTTTGTCATTCCATTCATTAAGCTTGCTTCATAGGAGTAGAATTTAAAAAGCAAGATCAAAAGTCTCTGTAAATATAAGCATCTTGATTTTATATAAACATATTTTAAAGCTATTATTTTAAAAAGTATTTTTAGAAGCTGGTTAAAGAACACTGAAATAAAGACTAAACAGTGAAATAAAGACTAAACACAGTCATTACACGTACCTCTGTATCCAAAACAAACAGCCGGTTGTCAAGAACTTGAAATTTTGCTGCATCTACAAAACATCCAGTCACATAAATTTAGTATTTTTCTTGAAGTATTTGAAGCAAAAAAGTATTAAAATGTACAACCAAGTATTGCAAACCTACAGATGTTTAACCTCATGGAAATTCCCAAGACTGTGAAAAGTTTAGCTTAAACAGAACTGCGATTTAGGTATCTAAATTAAACTCAACCATTTTGAGGCACAGTTTGGCTGTCGCTTTACAAGAAGTGTTCTACTTGGTATATGCATATTTACTAACAACAGTGACATAACTGAAAATGTCTCAGTATTTTCTGCAATTGAATCTGAATTCTACAATTGCCTATTGAGAACCAAACACAAACCAAACTCTTCTTTACCTTTGATCAGACTTGAATCAGCAAAACTTCGAACAGACACCAAGTTATTGGCAGTGTCTACCTCCCATTTGGAGAGTACATAATCACCTCTACCCTGTTAATAAAGGCAAAGTAAAACGGGGTTATACATTATAAACTTGGCCATTGACAGCTGTTTAATTGACCTTTAACTTGCAATGCTGGAAAACCCACTCAAACTTTGTTCCTGGTGAATGCTGATGTTCAGTAGAACATATTCAGTTATTTATATTCAATTTACTCTTTTTCCTTTCTCCTTTCAAGACTGACCTTTACTACAGTAATTGTTAGCACCCCTAAACATTTTTAGGTCTTCAAAGAACATGCCATATTTCAAAATATCCCCTTTCAATTCTCACAGAGCATAAAACCCGAAATGTACACTAAACCTACTGAGAAAAATCACATTGAATTCAACAGGCTTCAGTCATGAATTTGTTTCTGTACTTAACTCATGCTTAAGAGCTTTGTTGAATTGAGACGTTAATTGTTATTTTGGCAAGCCTTCATGGAATGTGAGTTTGATTAGAAGACTCACAAATTCTAGCTTTGCATCTGAGCTGAAGGACAAAGTCCTTCAGACTATCTTGCACGGCTCGCAAACACAGTTACTAAGGCCATGCAACCAGGGTGAAAATATTTTCCCCCCATCCATCATAAAAGAGCAAGTTACAAGAAATAACTATGGACAGACTGCACAACTCGTAACCTTTAAATTTACAGTGAAGGAAATTAAAGATAAAAAGTCCTTGTGCAAAAAGTTAATTACCGACCAGCTAGAGATAAATTTTGTTGCAGGTCAAAAAACACCATCACTGATCACATAACAATTGCTACAAACACGTTCATATTACTTACCCCAACTATCAGATGGATTTTGTTCACTGAGTTGCTTATCACAAAATTCTGACAGCCAAGGCTGTGATATTCTTCTGTGGAAATGAAAGCTGTCTTTATCTGTCCTTGTAACTTGTGGGGTGGAAGATGAAGGGAAAATAAACAAAAGGGGAAGTAAAAAAGTTGTTTATACAATAAGTAGATAAAGCCTTGAACTGCTTACTTTTCCATGTATAGAAAACATTATAATCACAATTGAGTTGTAATAATAAACTGCTAAGTATTTTGTGAAACTTACAATGCAGTTTTGTTAAACTCTGAACTTAATACCTATGTTACAAGTTACCAGGTTTTTCTTACTTTCTTTGCTGTAATCATATCCATCTTGTCAAGTGCTACATCAAAAAAACAAAACAAAGAAAACATCAGTTAAATGAACTTTTTCAGGATTGAGAAAAAGCCCCTGAACTTCATCTAGGATAGTTTAATCCTAACCTGACTCTGCTGAAAAACACTTTAGCTGGGTTCTTTGACAGGGTTTATTTTATTGATTGCAGTACTGAGTTACAGAAAATTAACTACTAACTCTGCTTATACAGTATCAAAAATTTAAATGATTCCCGATATTCTTCAGCACAGCCAAGACTGATTATGTATTAAAATCCTGCTTTCATAGCATTCAGGACTCTCCATAAAGCAGTGACTCAGAAAAACATAAGCCAAAGGAATTATTGGAGGAATAAAAAAATGATTTTATTACAGTATATTGGTTTCCCCTTACAAACAAACTGACATCATATAGAAAATCCCAAGTCTGTATCTTATTCCCATTAGAAAAAAATGCATGAAAAAGCTTTTTTTTAATACAGTTCTTCCTGCTCAAATGGAAATCTCAAGTGGTTTGTAGATCATCCTACCTTCCTGTGTTTTAGCCAGTGGGAGACACATAATGCAGAAGAATCCATTGCTTGTGAGAATGAACATGTGATAAACACCTAAAAAAAAATCCAATTCAAATATTTCAAATTTAAATGTTAAAGAGCAAGTAAAGAGACTACTTGGTTATAAATAAGACAGTGAAATAACTGACAAAAGAAACCCTGACCAATATATGATTTTTAAACCAAACTGTTGTCACCTTCAACAAAGAGTAGAATAAGTTTGTACATTTTAGTTTTGTTAGAAGTTATGATGTTTGTATGCTTCCATTAGACTGCAAATTCTGTTTTCATGACAAAACTACATTTAAATACATTATATTGTGACAGAATAAGACTGGAAGCTTATAGAACAGGAACTGCTAAAATCTGAAGTCTGACAGGAGAGAGAAGGAATGCTGCCTTTTTGAGCATTTAGCAGTCTCAAAAGAGGTACTGAGTTCTGAATGTTTTTTGTTTTCTATGACATTCATAAAATAATTAACAAGCTAAGTATCTTCACAGAAAAGCATTTAGGAAAAACATATTTAATGTGTATAGTGCAAAGTAAAGCTGTATCTGACTACAAAGTCAGATACTACTACAAATTACTACTACAAAGAATCCCTTTGGAGAGGGACTCTTCACTAGGGACTGTAGTGATAGGACAAGGGGTAATGGGTTAAAACGTATACAGGGGAAGTTTAGATTGGATGTAAGGAAGAAGTTCTTTACTGTAAGGGTGGTGAGGCACTGGAATAGGTTGCCCAGGGAAGCTGTGAATGCTCCATCCCTGGCGGTGTTCAAGGCCAGGTTGGACAGAGCCTCGGGTGAGATGGTTTAGTGTGAGGTGTCACTGCTCATGGCAGGGGGGGTTGGAACTAGATGATCTTAAGGTCCTTTCCAACCCTAACTATTCTATGAGTCTATTCTATGATTCTACTTATTTTGTAGTCTCTTTCCCCAGGAGAACAAAATCACAAAAATTGAGATAAGAGGGGGGATCAAATTCTTACCTGCATTTGCATTATCTTTTTCAATAAAGAGATTTAAGTAAGTCCTTTCACTTGAAGATTTTTCAACCAAAATCTAAAATAGAATCAACAAAGAGACTCTTAAACTATTCTGTACTTTATTTGACACAAATGTATTGGAAATACTGATCATCAGTTTAAACTTTAAACTTTTTTCTTTTATGAAGAAATTTAATCTTGTTTACACATGCCATTCCTAAATACATTTTCCTTATTTGTTACTCATGGGAACAAAAGAATCGCTTCAATCTCTTTGTTTCATCAAACTAGAAAGCATGTTGGAAACACAAGAATGTTTATAGTTTTATATTTGGAAGGAAATAAAAATAGCTCAAGAAATTCAGAGAACAAAAGGTTTTTAGCAAAATTGGAATAGAAAAATTACTGTACCTTGGTTAGCAAGGTTTGTTTTGAGGGTATATGGATAAGGTGGAAATTGCCACTTCTCTCACCGACCACAAGAAATTGTTCTTCTTGACACATGCCAACAACATCCACATTAGTATCTGAAAAGTTCCACGGCAAATGTCAATTAAGATCTGTTTTTTATTAATAGGCATTTATATTTGATACACAGGAATTAGACAGTGCCTGAGATGGCTTCATAAGTATTTATTTTGATTAAACAAAGTACAGGAGAGGGCATAGGGGAGTGGGTTTGATAGCCATTATTCCCATTTCAGTGAAAAGCTAGTGAGTGTTTTCATTAAACTGTACAGAAATAGTTATTGTATACAGAAACAGCAATCACTTCTTATTACTTATGTATCTATTATAATACAATATATAATATAATTATATAATATTATAATTCCTTTTCCAAGCGAGATAGATATGGAAGATTCTTGCTATATTTTCCTATACAAACCCAACATACATATTCTGAAAGTCAGTTTTAGCTTCCAGCGGAATTCCAAATGAATGAACTTACCAAACTGAACATGCATCAGGAGAGACTGCCCTGTACTGTCAAGAAGCGCCACTGATGCGTCAACAACAATAATAGTGCCATCCCTTGAGTTGAATGCACACAACTGCGGATTAACGGAGACCTAAGAAGAAAAAGGTCATTAAATACGGTAACTGAAACACCTTAGAAAATGTGACAAAGAAGCCCTGGTAATTGTTAAGAAAAACATAGCTTCGTGAATTCTACCTTTTCTGAAGATGTGATTTGAAGCAGCGTATTCACTTGATACAACGCAGTTCCACATTCATGTCCTAAACCTACAGGGAGCCGCTCACTCCCCGTGTCATCATTTGTAAGAAGTTCAATATCATTCCACATTTTTACCTACGATAAACATACGAGGAATACGCTGTAAAGCGAAAACTTTAAAAAAGTTACATGACCACACACAAGTTATTTATTATCCTATCATGAATAGCGCCTAGGAGGCAGGGCGGTTCACTGCGCCTCCTAAAAGCAACCTGCGTGTTTAGAACCGGCAGTGTCGCAGCAGCAATGTGGCTCCCAGGTCGCGTCCCCAGCGGGCCCGACCGAACGCAGCTTGGCAGGACAGGCTCCGCGCCCGAGGCTGAAGCGATCCCATGCCGGAGAGCGCTCAGCAGCACGCCGCGGACGCCCCTACCACAGTCACCCGCCATTCGCCATCCGCCGTCCCCTTCGTCTCCTCACCGCGGCCCCACGGCCGGTGACAGACCACAGCCGGCCCCCTCAGCGGCTTCAGGCTTTCAAATTGGCGGGAACTCTAGCTGGCGCTACGGTTCGCAGCTTGGGCCAATCATCCTCCAAACGCGGACGGCGGCGCTGCTTAGACACCGCCTAATCCTTCCCTTCTCCCAGAGGGCACTGCGGCCCCCTCGCTCCCCGCCCCACACCTACATCCGGGCGCCTGGAGGGTTAGAGGGAGGGTGGGGCTTGTTGCCTCGGTTCGCGAGCGCAGCGGCCGCGGTGGCTGAGGGACGGTGAGCCCGTTGTGAAGGCTTGTTGAGGGGGAGCGACGTGCCGGGCGCTCGGTCATGGCGGTAAGTGGCGTTCGCTGCTGAGGTTTTAGGAGGAAGGCGAGTTGGGAAGCGGGCTGCTACGGGGCGGGAGGAAAAGAGCGTGTGAGACGGGGAGGGCTGGGTCGGGAAGCCGTGTGCGCGGAGAGACAAAATGGCGCCCGCCGCTCCTTCGGTTGTCGGCGCCATGATGAGCCGCGGGGAGGGGGTGGCCGCTTTTCACCCATTACTTCTTTCCCTGTTTCCAGAAGTTTCTGTTTCATTTCGCTGGGCTCAGGGAGAAGCGAAGAGGCTTTATGATGGAGGCCCTGTCGTTTTCTCGTTGGGGAGAGAAATAATGTAGCCATAAGAGTAGGCGTTTCTCGGGCTGTGGGGCGCAGGTTGCCTGGGAGGGGAGAAGAGAGGGATCATTCTGGAGGTTGGCCTCTGCTCGCTTTTCATTCGTGTAGGTTTCCCCGTCCTATATTTTTTTCTTTGTGTTTGGCTATAGATGTGCTATTTTCAGCGTCAGCTTGCACTCAGTAATAATTATTTGCCCTCATTTTCCAGTTTTTATAGTTTGTTTATATAGGAAGTTCCTGTGCTGTAGTTACCACTGTCCTTTATGTTTATACACGGCCTAAGAGTGTGGCTTTACTGTCTTCTAAAATTTCTGTACCCTGGTAATGTATAAAGGAGGTTGTGTGGCCTGGTAGCGTACAAAGGCATTTGTCCTGTGATTGAGTCAAAGAACCGCTAAGAACAGTTATCAACCCGATTTAATTTCTTTTCAGAAGTTACAAAATAGTTTTGAGTGCAAAAAAAAAAGCCAACAAACCCCAAACTAAAAAGCAAGTAAACTGGTCTCAAAAGTAATAAGACTCTTCAAAGTTGACTTTAAGTATTTTGTAGTCTTTAATCTGGCACTTAAAGTTGTTCTTCTATTTTAAGGTTCTTGTCTAAACTTTGACGAGTCGTGAAAGAGAGCAAGAGGACCACAAATTTCTGGAGAAAATGATTTTTTTTTTAATGATGCATTCTTTTATATATATAACACTTAACTTGTTAAGAATAAGATAATTTTTATTGTAAAAGGACTTGCAGAATTATGTACTTGTAGTTTTACGCCTAGATCATAGGCGCTGTCTTTGAGGTTCCTCAGAAGTAGGTGAGGGGCTTGTTCGGGGAAACCTGAACCTGTGGCCAATCCAAGAGCTGAGAATAGGTTCATTGAAGTCTGTCAGCTTTTTCCTGCTGTTTTTGTAGAGCTGAGAGATTTCTCCAAGGTGCATTGCACCTTAGGGCATTAGTGAGCAGCAGTGTGTATAAATAATGAGACTTATAGCCTTGGAAAGAGGCAGTGGGCTCAGTTTCATTTGGATACTATGTTTAAAAACCCAGTTAAGTTGGACTGCTTAGCTGGTATTCATTTTTCTTCTCCACCTCAAGTAAATTTGAAATGTAAATTTACAGGAATTTAAAATTCCTTTCAAACTTCTTGCTGACTTGGGAATCTCAGGTGAAGGGGGCAGGCTTAGATAAGCAGATGATAGATAGATGTGGAAGGACAAGGGTTGTGATGGCTAAGATCACAATTAGGAGAGTCAGTTCCTGCTCTGATGGCCTCAAGTTTCCAGGATGATGGGTGGGGTATCAGTAGTATTCAGAAGTGTCATGGAGAGTGTAGCTAAAGCTCTGCTGCAGTCACAGTTTTAAGTGATCGGCGCTGTTGTCTGTATGCTGGTGTGTTTTAAACTAGATACCAGTATACCATATGACAGGAGAAGTGATCAGCTGCTTTATCTCCTTGAAAGAGGGATTTTTCTATAGGTGCATCTTGTACAGGTGTGAATTAATAAGGAATTGGGCAGATAAAACAGTAGTAGCTGCAATATAAATTCTAAAGGTTCACCTGTAGCATGTTGTGAACCAAGTCTACCATTAATACACAATATATTAGTGACAATCTGTAACAATAATCTGTTGTGGTTTGAGAAAAACTAGTTGCTTTGTTTTCAAAGTAATGAATATAAATCAGCATTTGAGAGGTTTTCACATGTTAAGATTGCAGACAGTTCTACCAGTTGCAGCTGGTAGAAAACTGCAAGTTTGAGTCCTCTTCTATGCTAAATTATCTTCATGAATAGCACATCTGGGCCAAATTACGTCCTTAGTGAAATCTTCTGCTGCCACAGGATGTCACGAGGTTTGATTGACTGCCATTGATATGATTGGAACAACAGAGACCAATGAATCTGTAAAGGCGTTGATGGAATCACAGTCACCTTCTTAGTGTGTACTTTTCCCATCCTTTCCTTTTATTGCATGGTACACCAGTTGTACACATTTACTCCTCCCAGCGTTGAATCACAAAGCAGTCCTGACTGCTGTACACAGATTTAATCCTCCTAGGTCAAGGTTTAAGGAAAATGTGACAGATAAATTGTTGGGGCAGGTAGATATGTTTTCATATGAGAGTACATATAGATCATATTTCTACATAGAGATACTGTTTGAGGTTTTTCCTTATTCAAAAGTTAGCTGTCTGACACTATACCTAATTTCATTTCATAGGTCATTCCATACTTCAAAATACTATGGGGATTTTGTGCTGTGCCTCGGTAATGCCCGAACTTGTAAGGTGACTTAGATCTGTTGGGACAGTGTTGACCTTAAGTAATCTTAGTCATGTAAATGTTTAAAAGGTAAATGACTTATAAACACCGCCATTTAGAGAAAACTGGCTCAGAGTTTAGTCTTGCTGATATTCTCAAAAACACATGACAAAAGGGCAGTGTGATGCAGTGGGAGAGCAAAATGTTTCTATGAATTAGATTTCTTTAATAAGGTCTTGAAAAAATCAATCTTTATGCAGTTACACAGTTCACTACAACTCTATCAAGCTATTGCCTAGCTACTAATGGGGTGGTTGCTCATGAGATTGTCTTTACAGTAAATAACTTTGAGTGTGTCTTCAGGGGAAGTACTGAGTAAATAGGGTTTTTTGTTTTTCAGTCCTAAGCATTTTTTTTTTTTTTTAATTTCTGTCCCCATGTGTAGGGTAGTGATACAGAACGAGATGGAGTAG